CCACATTGGTGCAACTACCTCCATCTATGATCATCATGCACACCTTGTCATTGATTAAACATCTAGTGTGAAAAATATTTTTTCTTTGGCTTTCTTCCATAGGTTTCAATTGACTATCAAGTAATCGCCTAATCATCAATAAATCTCCCTTTGGAATCTCTTCCTTCTCCTCAGTGTCTTCACTCTTTTCTCCCTCTTCAACCTCAGATTCACTTATATATTCTCCCTCTCTAAGAATCATGGTCTTTGTGTTAGGACACTCATAAGCATAGTGTCCTAAGCCTTGACATTTGAAACACTTCACATCTCTACCTTTTTTAGAGGGTTGTTCTTCATATTTTGAATGAGTCTTTGTAGAAATAGGTGTGGAACTACTAGAAGTAACAGTCCCATCTTTCTTGCCTTTGTCCTTCCAACTTGAAAATCCAAAGTTGGTAGAACTCTTCTTAGTCACTTCTTTTCTTTTGAGTTGTTGCTCCACTCGAATTGCTTTATGAAGTAAATCCTCCATATCAACAAACTCCTGCAACTCAACAATATCACATATATCAATATTCAAACCACCAATAAATCGGGCCATAGTTACCTCTTCATCTTCTTCAATCTTTGCTTGAATCATGAGCATGTCCATTTCTTTGAAATACTCCTCAACCCCCTTGTTGCCTTGAGTAAGTTTTTGGAGTTTAAATTTCAAGTCCCTTGCATAACTAGCCGGCACATACCGCTTCCTCATGATCCTTTTCATCTCAGTCCATGTATCAACCATTGACTCTTCATTTCTATCTCTCTCCTTTTGTAGCTTGTTCCACCAAACAAGAGCATAGTCAGAAAATTGTGTTGTTGCAAGCCTCACCTTTTGGGTCTCCTCATAATTGTTGCATGAGAAAACATGCTCTATTTTCATCTCCCACTCCAAGTATGCCTCCAGATCACTTTTTCCTTTAAACGGAGGAATGTTAAGCATGACTCCTTCAAGCGTACTTGGTCTTGCTACTTCATAATTCATTCTCCTATTTCTCCTTTCTTCTTCATCTTCAAGATTTCTATTCTCCAACCGGTTCAATCTTTCATGGAGCTCATTGTTATGTCGTATCATTAATATTTCCAAATGTTGTATCAATACTCTCATTTGAAATGGACTAATTCCTGCTTCTTGATTGTAATTTTCCTCTTCTACCATCAATTTGATGTTTAAACCCTTAAACCGGAGCTCTGAATACCAAATGATATGAATCACAAGGGGTGATTTAGGATCTTTAGGGTTAAAACCTTGTAAGAAATTTAGAAATTAGAAAGAAGGTGGAAGGAAATAATCACTCTTCCCAAGGGAGGCAACACACAAAGGATGTGACAGTCCTTTGATACAGCCAAGGGTTCTTGAATCACTCAAGAATTTAGGAGAATCATTCTCACTAAGATAAAAGAGATAAACTCTAATATTTTTTAATAAAATTCCACTTGTTATTTCTTGATAAGAATGGTTCAGCTATATAGAAGCGTTGCCATCAGAATTACAAAAGACTTAATAAAAGAAAATAAATACTAATAATAACCCATTAATCTAGGAATTGAAAACTATTTAATGAAAACAAATAAAGGCTAATAATGATTCATTAACCTAGGGATTGAAACTACCTAATGACTGATTGTATCCGAAACTGTGGCAACCAAAAGTCAATCAACTATGCACCCCTTGGTCTCCCAAAGGTCGATGACTAAATTTTCAATTGAGCCTTTATTACAACTTAAAACAAAATCAAACTAAAGTCTATTAATTGATTAATTCAAAACATAATTTGGTTAACCAACAATATTTGTTGAAGAACTTCCTTTATTTCTCTTGCTCTAGCCCTTATCATAAGTAATGTTCACATCAATAAATGTGATGTCAAGAACATGTAGAACAAAAAAAGTGGATTGCTTTTTTTTTTTTTTAAATGACTCTGGCATCTCGCCCCTCCTCGAGCTTTGGGACAATGTATCATACAAGAACATCGTCACACACCAACATTTTCCTTTTAATTCCTAAAGCAACACTTAATATTACAAGAAGGAGTACTTCTCAAACTCCAAGGAAAGTATCAAATTGATACATAAAAAGGATTTTGTAAGAGTAATTTAGTCTCGTAAGAATACAATAATATCAATATTGCTATAACAATATCAATATTTTTATTATTTTTTTAACAATAGTAATTATTGAAATCTTATTTTTCTTCTCTAATATGTAAAATAATAATTTTTAGTGTATCTAATTTGATTGCAATGGATACCAGCAGTAATTAATTTTGATAAATTTCTAGTTACCATTATTTTTGTCTTAGAATATTCACCTTTTTCTCATCTAAATCTGAAATGGATTCCTAGTGTAAAATTCCAACAAACAAGTTCAAAAACAATTTCTATTAAAAAATTATATTGATACTCATTTGTTATGGTTGTTTAGTCAACTTCTCGAATGTAATAATTTCTCTAATATAGATTTAGATCAATAAAAAGACATAATAAGAATAGAAGAGTGAAATTGTAGTCATGGGTTGTTATAAGGTTTCAAATTCATTTTTATAATTTTATTGTTGGAACAATTAAGATGAAAAGAAATTATTTAAGAATGGTCTTTCACGTTAACACTATAATAAGTTCGTAAGCAAACAAGTTTTACCACAAATCAGTTAATACTTTTTAATTTTTATTCTTTTGGCAAGAAGTGTAGTTTCAATGTAGTGCAACTCCTCCCGATAGATATCATCCACACTTTTAACACGAAGTTAGTAGCTTCCTTTATTTTCTAACAATGCATATGGATCATGTCTCTGTGTCTAGAAACCTACACCCATTCCTAGTGCTAAAACAACTTTAGGTCTCTTTGGGTTCAATGTTCTTCTAATTATACTCATATATGCCTTATTAGTCTTATATTTGTGAACCATAGTATATGCCTAATACATTAGTTTATCTTTAATGAAGAAATCAACCGTAACTAAACCCATTAAAGGGTCTCAATAAGTAGCAATCATGATTATTAACTTTAGAGGGGAAATAATATATTATTAATTAATAATAAATAAATATAAAAGGATAAAAAAATATAAAAAAATATATTTAATGATGATAAATTTAAAGATCAAAATTATAAATATATATAAAAATTATAAAATTTGATCGGTCATAACCTCTTCAATTTACAATAAAATCATGTTAAAAATATTAAATATATTATTTCAATATTAATATAAAATATTTTACGATGAACTAAGTTATTTTCTTAATCTCACACAATATTACGGTAATAAAGATAAGAATTATTTCCTTGGATACTTAATTATTAAATAAATGTAAAATATAATAAAAAACATTATATTATTTTAGTAACTACTCGTAAACTTTATGATATTCTATTCCTACTAATATTTTGGAGACATAACTAATACGTTGGAATGATGATATATTTTCAAACGGTTTTCGAAGGAATAAAATAATAGAAAGGAAAATCATAAATTCAATCAAAGAAAACTTACTTTTTTATTTTTTCAAATGAAAAAAATAATTAAGACTTTAGAATCCAAACAAAGAATCATCAATATTTATATTATTTATTATTTATATAGAAACCCTTAACACAAAAAATATTCATTTAATTATAATATTTTTTAAGATAATTTCTTTGAATAAGATATAACTATTTGATTTTATTGTAATTTTTGTTTACATATTTTACAAAATTGGCAATTTTGGATTTTAGATGTTTTTCTAGATTTTAGTTCCATATTTTTTAGTTATCCGTACTTTTTCTTATGATTTTTTTTACATACAATATTAATTTCATAATATTAGTTATTTGTGACTTTGATCAATTTTCACATATATTTTTTTTATTACGTTTGAAATAACCTGAAACACATTATATTTAGGATTTTTATACAATTAAAAAAGTAGTATGTGTTGATTCATGCTATTAAATGCAATTTGACCGTGATTTAATATATTTTTAAAATTTAAAATTTAACAAAGTTATATATAATTAAAAAATAAAAATCAAGAAATTCAGGAAACAAACTTATAAAACAATTAAAAACTAAAATACTACAATTATAAAAAAGATAAAAAAAATACAAATTTTATAAAATATAAAGATCAAAATTACAATTAACCCTAATTATTATAGGTGAAAAAAAACTTAGTTTATTTCAATACTCATTCGCCACGTAGAATACCTATAAATCTTAAGTAATCTATTGTTACCATCGTTTGGTTGATGTCCATTGCTTATAAAAGTGAATGCACTTAGATCCAAACATATATTTCAAGTATTAAATGTAAGTGTATATTTAAAATTCAAATTCGAGATTAAGTGAGATAATTTTATATTAGGTAATTTATCTAAATTTTAAAAAAATCATATTCTTTTTAATGGTTAAGGAAAAATTTATCCAATATAATCAATTAACGTATTTATTGATTTACCGTTTCATATATTATATTTTTTGATTTATTTTGTTGAATTCAGATACTGAGGCGACAATGTCATATGTAAGTTGAGAGACGCATCATTAACTCTTGAATGACCTTTTCACCTACGGGAGAGAGTGTTTACTGACAGACATTGGTAGAGTGCGACTCTTTTTGTTAATTTGTAGTTTGAAAGTCATACCTATTCGCTTTTAGTGACAAGTACCCAACAATCGGTTCAGGTTGGTTGGTGAGAGCTTGAGAGAAGGGTAGGAGAGGAATTATAATCGTTACAAATAAATAATGTTTAGCAAATAGCAATGACAATTAATTAACAATGGAGGTGTCCAAAGTGAAAAAAGAGAGACACATCATCAATTTGTGACTATGAACTCCTCCTGCACCACTGCACCACTGCACTGGTTGGGAACCAAAATTAACATTAGACAATAGACACTTCTTTGTTCTATGTTTTCGACTGAAAATAAAAATGGATTCTGTCGGAAGATCATCTATTGTCAAGGTTACGGAATCTGTTGAGTGAAGCCAAAATGGGAGGGACTGGTGAGCAAAGCCAAAACTACTCTACCAACCCCGCCGACTACAAGCTTCTAGAAGAAGTTGGTTATGGCGCCACCGCCACCGTCTACAGAGCCATCTATCTTCCCTTTAACCAAGTCGTGGCTATCAAGTGCTTGGATCTCGATCGTTGTAACATCAATCTCGTTCGTATCTTCTTCACTACTCTCCAATATCATTTTTAATCAATTAATTAATTAATCAATATATAATATTTTCAACAGGATGATTTGCGCAGGGAAGCCCAAACGATGAGTCTGATCGATCACCCAAACGTGGTGAAGGCGTACTGCTCCTTCGCGGTGGAGCGGAATCTGTGGGTGGTGATGCCGTTCATGGACGAGGGCTCCTGTTTGCATCTCATGAAGATTGCTTACACCGACGGCTTCGAGGAAGACGCAATCGGATCCATCCTGAAAGAAACTCTGAAGGCCCTGCAGTACCTCCACCACCATGGCCACATTCATCGGGACGTCAAGGCCGGCAACATTTTACTCCACAGCAACGGAGCCGTCAAGCTCGCCGACTTCGGTGTCGCCGCGTGCTTGTTTGACGCCGGTGACAGGCAGCGGTGCAGAAACACTTTTGTCGGGACCCCTTGCTGGTAATCTCTTAACAACTCTTTTTTTTTTTTCATTCATTCTCTCAGTATAACAAACATTATATGTTCTTCTCACCTTTCTCCTGTAGGATGGCTCCTGAGGTGCTGCAACCTGGAACTGGCTATAATTCCAAGTCAGTCATCGTTCATCCAATTATTCTTGTTATTAGCTGTCTCTGCCAATTACCAAAACACTGCCTTTTGTTACTGCTAACTCAAAACATACGATTTTGCCAATGTGTTTTAGGATTAACTATTACTCCCTCCCTCCTTATTTATATGATCCTGTTCAGAAAAATGTTTGTTCCTTTTTATAAGACTCCTTTGTAATTGAGTAATGCATTGACTATTGTTTACCTCTTAATTAAATATTTGAAATATATCACAAAATTCTCTCTCTTAATCTGATATCTGAATATAAGGACTCAATAATACCAAAGTTTCTCTCCAATACTTTAGCTTTAAATATGTAAAGGTAAGTCTGGAACAACAATACAAATTACCGACAAATTTATTGTTTTCAATTAATTTAACTAATTTTTTTTTAAAGGGCGTGAATCAGTTGAAAGACTCTAATAAACAGGGACGAAGGGAGTAACTGTTATTAAGGGCATAACTAGTTTACTGTATTAGTTTGAAATTTTGTTGCTTTTGGGCAAATAGTTTAATTAAACATTCATTTAGTAAGTTCTGATTTTGATAAGCTATGAATTATGATTTTGGATGAGAGCTTCTCAAATTCTTGACTATGCACCGTGAAGCTGGTAAACAAAGCTGAAAAAACCTTATTGTGATAAGGTCATAATGTCTCTTGAGATAAGTTGAGAAGAGCTTACAAAAAAGGTCATAAGCAACTTTCAGAAGCCTAAATAAGTTTTGTATCAAATACCCTCTTAACCTTGCAGAAGTTCTTAGGAAGGTTGTAGTTTCCATTGCCTACAATTCTTTCCTGTTTGTTTGTTCAATGGACTCTTTTCTGTCTTTATTAGGATTGAATAATGGGCCAAGTTTATTGTTGTTGCTGAGGTTCATAAATGTTGAATAGGGCTGATATTTGGTCTTTTGGGATTACCGCACTTGAGTTGGCTCATGGTCATGCACCATTTTCAAAATATCCTCCAATGAAGGTATTTACATCCATTGGTTGTTAAGAGACAATGGCTAAAAGGATTTTAACATTGAACTGTGTGATGTAATTTGTAATATAAGAAAATGACTTCATTTTCAATTTCATATATAGGTTCTTCTAATGACCATACAGAATGCCCCTCCTGGACTTGATTATGATCGTGATAAAAAGTTCTCAAAGGTATTACTGTTCTTTCTGGATGGATTGTTACATAAGAGTCATCATTATGATACATTTAGTTTTATTTAGTTCATTACTCATGGCAGGTAAGATTGATTTTTTGTTCTGATATGATTGTTGTTCATAATGTATTTCTTGTTTAATCGTACTCTAATTAAAGCATTTCCAGTTGTTATCAGTCCTTTAAGGAAATGGTTGCTATGTGCCTAGTGAAAGATCAAACAAAAAGGCCATCAGCAGAGAAGTTAATGAAACATTCCTTCTTCAAACATGTTAAGCCTCCCGAGCTCTCTGTAAAGAAATTGTTTGCTGATTTACCACCTCTATGGAATCGCGTAAAAGCCCTCCAGGTTGGTTTTCATGCAGGCTTTGGTGCAGGTTTAAATTTCTTTTACTCGGCTACCTTTTCTTGACTTAACGAACTCTTGCAGCTCAAAGATGCAGCTCAACTAGCAGTCAAGAAAATGCCTTCTGCAGAAGAAGAGGCAATATCTCAGGTTAGAGCAGATATTCAAACTATTATTTGTCACTTACTGTGATTTGTTTAGGGATTCTTTGCAGCATTATTTTAATGAATGACATGACCAAGTTAGCCACTTGATAAAAATGAAAAGTCTAATTGTTTCTAGAGACAAACATATTTATAGTAACTGCTAATATGAAAGTTGAGTTAGCGAGTGGAGAGAACTTGACAGCAGAATAGTGTGGGAATAGCTCATGGAAGACAGAACGGCTCTAGTACTATGTTGAATACTTTTGAATAGATAGAGTAAGATAAACAAAACAGAATGAAGCACTATTTGATCTTAACTCTGATGTACTACAATGTATTAATGTATTTGATATATTCATATAACGAGAGAACTAAACCTTATATACGTACTAATCTAATTCTAAGTAATTAGGGAATTAAATCATTATAAGGAAATATGAAAACAGATCCCAAGAGATAATAAGAAATAGGGAAACTAATCCTAGAGGATAATCTAACAACAAAAACAAAGCCTTTTCCCACTATGTGAGGTTGACTACATGAATTACACAACTCCATTCAGCACAATTAAAAACTGTTGAATATAGGGAAAAACTGTATAGGGTTAATTTCCCTTGTGTGTTTACCACACATAGGGCAGTGTATTTATAATAAAGAAAGGTACTCCTCAAAAGAGTAACAGAATACAAATAGGGTAAATAAAAAAGATATTATTTGATATTGTGATTAACAATATCTAACAATATCTCAACAATATCAAACAATATCAACTAATATCTAATCATATCTAACACTCCCCCTCAAGCTGGAGCATACAAATCGTATGTGCCTAGCTTGGTACAAAGATAATCCATCCTAGGTCCCCGTAAAGACTTAGTGAAAATATCTGCTAATTGATCACATGAGTTAACGAACTCAGTCTTGATGTCTCCAGTCATAATCTTTTCCCGAATAAAATGGCAGTCAATCTCAAAGTGTTTAGTCCTCTCATGAAAGACAGGATTAGAGCTTATATGGAGAGCAGCCTGATTGTCACACACTAGTGTCATTTGAGTGACATCTCCAAATTGTAGCTCTTTAAGCAATTGCTTGAGCCAAATAAGTTCACAGGTAGCTGAGGCCATAGCTCTATACTCGCTTCTGCACTGGATCTTGCCACAACACTTTGTTTCTTACTTTTCCATGAGATCAAGTTACCACCAATGGAAACACAATACCCGGATGTAGATCTTCTATCGGAGGGAGATCTCGCCCAATCAGCATCCGAATAGCAGACAACTCTTGTATGATTATGGGAGTCATACACCAAACCTTTTCCAGGAGACTTTTTGATGTACTTCAATATACGGATGACTGCATTCCAATGATCTTGACAAGGAGAATTGAGGAATTGACTCACCACACTCGACTGCAAAGGAAATGTCGGGCGAGTAATCGTAAGATAATTTAATTTTCCAACTAATCTTCTATACTGTTCAGGATCTGACATTGGCTTCCCCTGATTTGGCAAGAGTTTGGTATTAGGATCCATGGGTGTGTCAACAGACTTTGAATTCATCAACCCAGTTTCCTCCAAAATATCCAATGCATACTTTCTTTGAGATATAACAATGCCATCGGTAGATTGTGCTACTTCAATACCCAAGAAATATCTGAGTTTGCCAAGATCTTTGGTTTGAAAATGGTGGCAAAGGTGTTGTTTCATCTGAGAGATGCCATGATGGTCACTACCTGTAAGAACAATGTCATCGACATACACTATCAAATAGATACATCCAGCATTCGAGTGACGGTAAAAGACTGAGTGGTCTGCCTCACTTCTAGTCATGCCAAATTGTTGAACAACGCTGCTAAATTTTCCAAACCAGGCCCTAGGAGACTGTTTTAGGCCATATAAAGATTTGCGAAGACGACATACCAATCCAGAAGACTCCCCTGAGCAACAAATCCGGGAGGTTGCTCCATATAAATCTCTTCTTGCAAATCGCCATTCAAGAAAGCATTTTTGACATCCGAGTTGATAAAGAGGCCATTGTTGAATAGCGACCATGACAATGAATAAACGAACGAAGCCATCTTTGCCACTTGGAGAGAAAGTATCACCATAATCCAACCCAAAAATTTGGGTATAGCCTTTGGCTACAAGGCGAGCTTTGAGGCGATCAATAGTACCATCGGGACCAACCTTGATAGCGAAGACCCACCCGCAACCAACAACAGATTTTCCGAGATGGTAATGGGACAAGCGTCCGGGTTCCACTAGTCCGAAGAGCACCGAGTTCATCTAGCATGGCCTGACGCCAACCAGGGTGGGCTAAGGCTTCGAGAGACGATTTAGGAATAGACACAGAAGAAATAGACGAGAGACAGGTATAAAATGGTGAAGAAATTCGATGATAACTTAAAGCAGGTATAATGTGGAGAAGGATTACGAGTAGAACGCGTACCTTTACGAAGGGCAATAGGAAGGTCAGACTCTGTGGACGGAACCGGAGGAGGCAGAGTATTTGGCACTGGGAGTGAGTCATGTGGCGTCTGTTGTGGGCGAGGTCTGCGACTATAAACCTGAAGGGGTGGTGGAGGAGGAGGGGCTAATGGTGGATGGTCCTCAACATAAGGATCAATGAGAACAGGAATGGGAACTGTAGCAGATGGAGACTCAGCAGGTAGGGAAGGGTCCTTAAAGTAAAAGGAAAACTCATTGAAGGTAGCAGATTTGTCTGAAGGTACAGACGAAGGAGGATCCACAGCAGAGGATTGTGCGGAAGAATCAGTCTGAGCAACTGCAGCAGATCGGCGAGGATAACCATGTAAAGCATAACATTTGTCAATTTTGTGGCCTAGTTTGCCACAATGGTCACACTTGACACGCCATTTGCCTGGCTTGTGAGAGCGATTACGATCATCACGGTGAGAGGCCAAGGTAGATGAATCATTAGAAACTACAGGGGGAATATTGAGAGGTTTACATGGCACCCGCAAAAGGGAGGAACTGGTAGCGGTAAAACTGGGTGTAATAGGGGAAGCCAAAATCTGGTCACGAACAGGGGCATATTTATCAGCAAGTCCGTGTAACATCAAAACCATGAAAAACTTTGATCGTTGCTCTAATTCTTGGGCAGGAGTCAAGGCAGGGGGTAATAACTCATTAAATTTATGGAGAAGAGCATGGATCTTACCCACATAATCTGCCACAGGATCCTTATCTCGAGGAGCAATAACATCAAGAAGATTGTAACAAACACCATAAAGACGTTGAGTGTCATTGGTGTATAATAATTTGGCTTGTTCCCAAACGTCATAACATGTGCCATACGATCGAAAAATTTGTTTTAAAAAAGATTGGATGGTATTCTTGAGAACCATACATATATGAGCATCAACTTTCTTCCAACGGACACGATCATTGGAAGGAACATCATCTACCTTGGTAGTAAGATGATCAACATACCCCTGACTCTCAAGCCAAAGTCTAATAACAGATGCCCAAGTTGCATAATTCGTACCATCTAATTTATCAATGGGTAAATTCACATTGACATAATTAGTAAAAACAGATTGCTCAGACCCACCGGAGCTGACAGAGGTAACTTCAGAATTGGAAGTGGCAGCGGAAGATGCCATGGAGGAAGAGAGAGAAAAACCCTAAAACACCAAAGAGGTCCGATTGGAGTAGCGAGGACAGATCCAGAGAGAGGAGAAGGAGGCGACGCCGGTGCAAAGATCAGCGGCCTGAACGGCGGCGAGACGCGCCGCCACGCGCGGCGGAACGGGAGAAGGTGGCGCAGCTTCGGGAGGCGCGTGAGGGAGCGTGGCTGCTCCAATGACCGCGAAACTTCCACGGTGGAGGTCGCACGGAGGAGGCGAGCAAAACCCTGTGCTCGGCGGTCCGAACTGCTACTCTGGCGACGGCGGCGGCAGCGGCGGACGGCGGTGGCGACGGCGGCGGCGATGGAGGCGGCGACAGCTGCAGGTTCAGTGGCAGAGCCGAAAAAAAATCCCAAGAGACCTTAAGCTCTGATACCATGTTGAATATAGGGAAAAACTGTATAGGGTTAATTTCCCTTGTGTGTTTACCACACATAGGGCAGTGTATTTATAATAAAGAAAGGTACTCCTCAAAAGAGTAACAGAATACAAATAGGGTAAATAAAAGAGATATTATTTGATATTGTGATTAACAATATCTAACAATATCTCAACAATATCAAACAATATCAACTAATATCTAATCATATCTAACAAAAACCAAAGCTTCAGGAATATTAATTAGCTTGAGATCTCTCTTGACAACGTCCTTCAACATCCTTTTTGGTGTCAGTCTCCTCCTTTTCACCAGACTGAAAATCATGCAATCCGCTGAAATTTTCTTATATTCAAACAGTAACCATGATTTAAAACGGCAGGGTTTTGGAGAACTTTGTCCCTAACCCCCATAAAAGTGTTTTATGTATATATATATGTGTTTCTTTGTAGAAAACAAAAGATTGTCACTTTTATTGTTGTCTCCGTAGATAATACTTACATATTTTGCTTTAGAGTCAATACCATCGAGGAGTTAGTGCGTGGAACTTTGATATCGATGATTTGAAAGCTCAAGCTTCATTGGTATGTATTATCATGTTCAGATTTATTAGCGTGACTAGTTTGTCCCTTGTTAGATCTGAATTAATGTCTTCAATTTTGCTAGGTGACGGATGATGATGATATTACTGGTACGAGGGAAGATGTAAACGATTTTGTCACCAATTACAAGGCTGTAAGAAGACCTTGTCACTGAATTTGGATGTTGTTCAATTGTTCCAAGCTTTCTCTACTGGAAAAAAAAAATTCTTATGTTTTTTTGTCACGACAGGGTGCAGTTGATTCCCAGTCTGGTACCGGCAACATGATTTCAGATAAGGCATCGCTGAATAAAATCACATCACGGGTAGGGGCTATTGACATAAAACAGACTGAGCAGAGTGAATACTTGAACAGAAAGGAGAAAATTCTTGAAAGCGATATCCAGGAACATGGATTGCCCAAAAATATCATTTGGAAGAGAAATGGGTCAATTCGAGAGGCAACGACATCTACCCTAGAGAAAGATATAGGCATGAGCAAAATTAAAAAAGGCCAATCGGTGAAAACCCGTCAAACCCAAAGTGGACCACTATTGCCAGTCACAGTTCTCAGCCATTCTAAATCAGAAAGGGGACGAACATTAGAAAGGTACTTTATATTGTTTGTATCACATCTTGTTTTATTTTAGACTATGATTAGAAGTTTAACAGACTGTTTGATGAAATGAAGCGAGTTCCTGTTATAGTTGACAGTTAGTTACAAGTCAGTGACCCCAGAGGATCTGTAATTAAAATAATTTGTTTGTTAGCTTGAGAGGTTGGAAGGAATGGCGTTCAGGACGGTAGAAATAAGAGTGACATTCAGAGTTGTAACATTGATAAGACATGCAGTGGGTCAATTGCAAAGGGAACTTTTAGATGAGATTTCTCTCCTTTTCTAATTAATATTATTCTCCTCAGTGTGAGACTCCTAACATTGTCATCTCTTTTAAGACTGGCATCAACAACGACTTTCACTCTCTGATACTGATCTTACAATAGGCCTTTTCTCTTTGATGACTTCATTTACCTGTCAATATCATCTTTGCCCCTTAATCCAATTTATAGGTACCCGTTTCTGTAGATAACTCTCAACGAAAATGATAGCCCAATCAAGTAGTTTATTCTACTCAATGTGGAACTTATAACATTTTGCCTCAAGGGAAACAAGGCTGATGGTAAACACTTTGTCATTCAGTGGGCCACTATGCCATCTCCTTGCTTGATGCTTTGAAACCCATCAATAAGCATAAATCCAACTTTGTTATGACATCACATTCAACTAAATTTCATTACCCCCCAAAGGGCCTAGTTGGCCCATTATAGAGCCCATATTTGTGCAGCCGAACTTTTAACCTTGAAAGGGGAGGCAAAGTCTTGTTATAAATTTTCAAATAACAACTGTTAGAGATTAAGTAAATTTGTAATTAGAGATATTATGAGATTTAACGAGTTGTATCAGTTTATGTAAACTAGGAAAATTGTGATTCATTATATTCAGAACTCTATAAAGAAGAGTCTCAGCTTTATAAATTAGACGCTTCACCTTGTGCCTTTAGTTCTCTCTCTTTCTCAGCATGGTACTGGAGTCAATCAAGGTAGTTAGTTTGTTAGTTAACCACCTTATGGTAGTTAACTGATGAATGAAACCTGTAAAAGAATTTTCCATGGTAGGACTGAGTTTGTTAAATGGTTTAGGAAGTAGTTATTTGTTAGTTAAAGGTAGTTAAAATCATAATTACTCAAAGTTGCAAGAGAAACTTTTCTCTTGGTAGTTGGCATCAATCATGATTTAGTTGGGAGTTGGTTTGTTTGTTACAAAACTTGTAAGAGAAGCTTCTCCTTAGCTTATGTGGGAAGATTGGTCATGGAATGTTGAACCAAATAGAGCACTGTTCTATAGAAAGGGTAAAGGATAACTAAGCTAGGCTAAGTTAGCAGTATATTGATAATTTTGTGCCTCATTGCATTTGATCATGAGTTTATATAATAACTACATAGGCCAAATTATTGGCTGTCTGCACTTCCAGAAATAGAAAAAGGAATCTAATGACAATATGAGACACACATATTGACAAGGTCTAGCTAGGGAGGTTCTTCATGCTTTCTTGCATAGGATTTGGTTGTTCTTGTATGTATTTGCTTGCGGAGTCTAGACTACATAGATCTTGATGGTTTTATGAAGATGAAAGCTAAGAAAAGAACCTAGTTATGGCACAAAGAAGAAGAAGGAAATGAATGAAGAAAGGAAATCACATAACAAAGTAAAAACGCTTATCGAAATGTTCACCCTTGGGTGGTATTCTCTTCTAGGATATGACTCACCTGATTAGAACCGGATGGATTCTTGGCTTGGCCAAGATGGCTTAAACTTTGGCAAACTCCTAAGGATATGGCTCACCTTAGAAGGGCTCTTGGAAAACCGCCACTTGAGATATGACACATACAAATACTCACAAGCAAAAAAAAAAAAAAAACCACTATTCTTAGCAAAAATCTTTCATGGATTAAGATAGACAAAGTTACTTTTCACGAGAACATAATCTTCCTTATAGGAGTTTGGTTGTGCCTTTCCTTAAGTAGTGCTTGGTTGTGAGGTTTCAAGCATTCCTAGGTATGGTTAGGTTATTTTAGTAGCCAAACAAAGGATCTCAATCCTAAACTACACTAAAGAATTGGTCTCTATCTATTATATTACAAAGGGTCCTAATGGTCTTGTTGGCTTGGTGAAACTTCTCCTCAGGAGGCTCCTTAGCTTTGCTCCTAGTTGGTACACTCTTGGAAGCTTCCCTAATCTCCTAAACTCTTCTCTCCCTTTCTCTAGATTTAGCTTCACTTCTTATTGTAACGCCACTTTGATAAGCATGCTCTTGGTCCATGATCACGTCATCCTCCCCTTCTAGAAGAGGATTCAACCTCAAATTAAAAGAACTTGCATCAAAAGCAACCAAGTCAGTAACATTAAAGCTATGACTTACCCCATAATCAATAGGAAGATCTAGTGTGTAGGCATTGTTATTGATTCTCCTAAGCACTTGGAATGAATCATCCTGGAATCAAACCCAATCTGTAGATCATCTCCTTTCTTCTTTTGTTGACTTGCCTAGCATGCCCCTCAATTTTCTTTTCTATTTCATCCTTGACCTTGGTGTGGAGCTCCTTTATCATGTTTGTCCTTTCCATGTCATCACTACACATCATAGAGTCAAGGTTAGGTAAAGGTAGTAAGTCAAGAGGTGTTAAAGGTTTAAAGTCATTAACAACCTTAAAGGGAGAATGGGAAAATGTGGAATGTACTACTCTATTGTAAGCAAACTCCAAATGAAGAAGATCTTCCCAAGCTCTCAAGTTTTTTGAAATAAAACATCTTAGTAGTTGAGATAGAGTTCTATTAACCATTTTAGTTTGACCATCTATTTGTGGGTGACAACTTGTAGAAAATAAGACTTAAGTTCCATGTTTCCTCACCTTAAAAACTTGGAATCCCTATTCTACACAATGCTACTAGAAATTCCATGTACTCTTGTTGCTTCTTTGAAAAATATGTCAGAAATCAAACAAGCATCATCAATTTTGTGGCGATGTGTAAAATGTGTCATTTTTGAAAACCTATCTACCACTACTGAGGTTGAATCTTGCTGATTTGTTGTTTTAGGTAGTCTAAGGACAAAATTGATGGAGATATCTATCCAAGGATGGGTTGGATTAGGAAGAGGTTTGTACAACCAATGAGTCATTATTTTGGATTTGGTCTTCTTGCATATTAAACAATTTTCACAAACTCTTCGAACATTTTTTATTGAAGTTCTTCTCTCCAAATATTCTCCTACTTTATTTTACCTTTCATCCACCATGTCTCCTGATTCCTCATCTTCAGTCAAGATGATTACTCAAATTGTTTTTTGGGCAACGGTGCCTTGGGCTGTAAGTTCCTCCGCAGTGAAAACATCTTCCCTTCTCACATATTCTGAATATGGCAGATTTCTAGTTCCTCGGTTTTTCAATCTTGTGGTTCCAATCCCTCCAATTCTTGATCCTTGTGAGATGCCTGACATTCTCATCCTTGTTGTGCTGTCCACACCCTTTGTCACATGTGTGTTACTGGCATTACTGAAGGTTTTGCCCTGTGATACAACCCCATTCCTTCCATGACACAGAAAATTTGAGGTGCTACCACCGAATGAAGATCCACCCAAACAAAGTGTCTCAACCCTAAGCTACATCAAAATGTGTATAAAAAAGATTGGTCTCTATCTACTATATTACAAAGAGTACTAATGATCTTGTTGGCTTGGTGAAGCCCCTCTTCAAGTGCTTAGTCGTCCTCTTAGATAGGACACCCCTAGAAGCTTCCCTAATAATTTCTTGAACTCTTCTCCCCTTTTCTCTAGCTTTAGCATAACTTCTTGTTGTAACTCCACTTTGATGAGCTTCCTATTGTTCCATGATCGCATCATATACTGACAGTTAGAACTCATTCATCACATGGTATTTTCTATTTTCAGTAATAAGTATATAACCTAATAGTCTATATCAATACCAGGTTACAGGGGATCAATTCATATTTAAACGCTTAGCTGTTGTAAAAGGGGAAACCCTCATAATAGAGATTGCTCTCCTATTTCTTGTTCTTTTCATCTTATTCAACAAATTATGTTTCTATTTCCCATTCCTAGTTCTTGTTTCTTAACAGAAGTCAACAATATCTCTTCTTCCTTTCGAGTTGCCAAATATGATTGTACAATGTTGTAAATTGTAAGTATGTAATTTGTAGTTTAAATTAATGGATTCGTTGTCTCACATGTGCCACTTTCCATTTCTTACTGATGCTTCACTGTGATTGATGTTTACTTCTTCTCAATATCATCATATTTTGCTTGATACGGCATTTAATGCTTCGTTACTTTTAGGCTTGAGAATGGAAATCAGTTACTGGGTGAGAAAACTAATCGGGAAGTGCGACGACCTCCAAATTTTAGCGGTCCATTGATGCTTCCAACACGAGCTTCGGCAAATAGTTTATCAGCTCCAATAAAGTCTGGTGGAGGTACTTAAATTACACTGTATGCACCACCAGGCTATGTGCAGAATTTCAACTAATTTTTGAACCAAAACCATCTAAATTGAGTTTAATTTGGTTCCGTTACTTTTGGTAGGATTCAGGGATTCCTTGGACGAGAAGTCTAAGGCTAATCTAGTACAAATTAAAGGGCGATTCTCTGTGACATCAGAAAATTTAGATCTTGTAAAGGTGTGCTCTACTCTTATATCTGATAGGACTTATCATTTAACATTAACTGACTTGCTCATTGTGTCATAGGATATACCCGGAAGTTCAGTTTCATGCCGATCTTCACAGGTTGGTTGTTGTTATAATGAATTAATACATATATGTGTGTGTGTGTGTGTATTTATGCTATATAAATTCCCTAATCTGAATTTTATGCTCCCATAACATTTGATATAGGGCGCATCACTGCGGAAATCTGCCAGTGTTAGTGATTGGATGTTAGATTCCCAACAAATGGTTTGTTCATAAGCCATATGCATCATATGTGACTAAGTTCCTTATCAGCATGTTCCATATTTGGTTTATGCTCTCAAAAACATTTTTTAAAGTTAAACCGATAGAGTTAATTTTCAATTTTTAGAAACTTTTGCTTCTTGAGTTGGTTGCCGAGCATCTATGATCTATATTTTTTTACTTTCTTGATATACGAGGCTAATTTATCTTCTATTGAATCTGTTTTTCTTCAGCCAATTGTTCGGGCCACCAAAGATTCTCCCACCAACAATATCTCTGCACCAGTTCTTATGACTCACCTTCAAAATCTTCTCCAGCAAACATCTATGCAACAGGTGAGGAAATGTCAGAAAGTAGTCACAAAAACTGACTTCCAATTTATGATCTCACGGGAAGTTCTATTTTAAACCAGGATCTTATAATTAATCTGATGAATAGCTTGCCATCTGCTGAAGTGATTGAAGGTGAGTGAAGGATTTTCCCTTGATTATATTTGAAGCAATTGTTGACGGTTTTGAATGATATAAAGATCCAATCAATATTTTCAGTTTCACAGAATGGAAAGTTGCCACCAATACTTCGCAGTTCAGAAAATAATGGCAGTGTGAGTAATTTTTACTCAATTTATACTTTTAACTGTATGCTTAATTAATTTTCAACCCGTGTATGGTTCGATTTTCTTAGAAGAATTATTTACTCTCTCTGTCTCATTACATAAACCTGTACCTAATCCAATAATGTAATAGTTATTCATAATGTTGATGTTCTTCTCCGACATTTGTGTCATTGACAGGTTGAAACTTCAGCTGCAGAGAGGGAACGTCTTCTGCTGCTCAAAATAATAGAGCTTCAGACTCGGTTAGTTGCATCAATTTAAATATTCTTTCTCACTATTCCTTCCAATCTTACTTCAAATAGCTTATTTAACTCTTTCTCCCCTGCCCCGTGTCATATTACAGGATGATCACTATGACTGATGAACTGACGGCGGAGAAGTTAAAGTACATGCAGGTAATTTTCCGTAGAAACAGTTAGCTCGCTTTCTTTGTTTTATTCGTAAAAAATCATTTTGAAGGCTGTGCTTGCACTAGATAAGGACAGGCTGGACTAATTTTTTATACGCACTTATAAAAGAAAAAAAAATGGAAAATATAAATTTACCTTTCTATAAGTTAAATATAACTTATTTATAAACTAATTTTAATTTTTAGAAATTTATTTCATATATTTTTTTCTTGAAATGTTTATGAAGAAGTTTGTCTAAACAATCTTAATAATTAGTCAATATGCAGTCTTTGCCTGCGATATATTTTTATATTTTGAATGTCGAATCTTAACTAAATATCAATTGATCTTAAGCGAAATTGTCTAATAAATACATAAAGAGATACTCAAAGAATTGAGATAAGACTTTTCAACACCCCTTCCACAAACGTAGGCCCACTCAACAAATGTCGATTTTTTAAATTGAAATTTGACGTGATATCTAATCCTATAACTCGACTTGATGTTGTAATTGCCTAATTCAAGTAGGCTCGCTTGATTTGGTAGGCATGCGGGGTTCTAGAGAAGTCTTCCATTGTATACCTCAATAACTGCATTGTGATCTATATATATATATATATATATATATATATATATAGAGAGAGAGAGAGAGAGAGAGAGAGAGAGAGAGAGAGAGAGAGCAACTTTACTGAAATTGTAATCTAAATATAAGGATGATAAAAGGGATTAATTTATTTCACTAGTCTTGGTACATCCCGTCTTGATCCGCAACATTAGGGTGAATCGGTAGGTTATAGGTTAACCTAACAATTTTTGTTATATATAAAAAAATTATATATTGTTTAAAAAACACATTTTTAATTATATAATTATTCAATTATAATATTATTGTCTTAGTTACATGTTAAAACATTTAACTATAATCAATGATTTAAATTTTATTTGTTGTGTAAATTATAATATTATAATTTATTTACATATTTAAATATAATAACACAAATGTAATATTTTAAATCATACTCTTTTTAAATTAATATTAACATGTAAAGAAAACGCGGGTTCGTTCACTAGCCCGTCTTACTCTGTTCTTGGCACGTCGCAATGATGGATTAGGTGGAGTGGGTCATGAGTTAGCCAGCTAAAAATTACCAATTCGATTGGTCAATTTTCAATAGGTTAATCATTAATTCGCAGCACGAGAATAAGGATGTTAGAGAAGTCTCACATGATCTTTCTCAATACTTAAAAGTCCGGTTAATATATTTATTGGGATAACTTACTTTAATGTTGATTGGTTTTAAGATGAAATTCATCATTGTTAACTTAATTTTTGAATTATGACTTATGTATCTATTGGTCACTTAGTTGAATGTTCATTATTTTAAATTTAAATATATAATGCTATTAGAGTCTAGCTCAATTTGGTAACTGTTCATTCTATTAGATTCTTCATGTATACTTTGGACAACTTTCCTTATTAGGAATTGGTTTTGAAATGAAATATGATATTGAACCTTCAAAATTTAAGATCAAACTAATGATTTTGTTATGGAACAGATGAAACAACAGCTAACAGCTCTCCAAAGTAAGGAACAAAATAGGGACAAGAGAGAGGAAGCTGCTTGAAAGCTGATTAATTCTGATTTGCACATATAATGACTTTTGGATATTGAAAATAGAGTTGGATCTATTCCCTGATCCAATTTTTCCTTGCCAAAAAAGTTTTTTTTTTTTTTTTTTTTTTTTTTTTTTTTTTTTTTTTTTTTTTACGAAGATATAGAGAGTCCCAGACATAGTATCTCAGACTTAATCACATTATTTATTTCATTCAAAACTCTATGTATCCGGGTTTCCCCGATGTATCTTCTGCAACCTTGCTATAAGTTTGCAGATCCAATACGGGTTTTGTAAAGAAATTTACACTGGCACAACCTATAAGGAATTGATATATGATTAATGTGTTATACCAATGGAAAAGGCTCTGTCTTTGATTAAGTAGAGATTAAAAAAAAAATAGGACTGAAATATAATTTTTTTTTTTTGAATACTCTTAATGAAAAAGAAGACAGTTTAAAAAATGATTTATTATATACATAAAAATAATAGAATGTTTAAAATTAGTTATTGATGATATTGTAAATGCTCCAAAACCTGTGGGAAAGATGGCTTAAGGCATGTTATGTGACGCTCATGATTTATATAATTAATATTTTATTGATTTTAGAAATTTATTTAAAGAAATAAATATTGCATATATAAGAAATTATTCTTGTAAAATTTACGAAGAGATTTAAATAGAATGTATATAAAACTTAAAAAATACATTGGCATAACAAATACTGTGATTCAAATTTAAAAAAGAAAACAATTGCATGATAAATTTATTTAAAGTATATTTTATTAGAAAATATGAATAATTCATTGTCGTAAATATATCATTTGTTTCAAATTTCTAAAATGCTATAAAAATATAATAACAAAGGAATAAATACATAATTGTTTATATATATATATATATATATATATATATATATATATATATATATATATAATAATATCACATGATTTCACAATTTTTAACACATGATCATAATTTTTAACACTAATTTTAACATGAATATTATAATTCACTATTCGAGGTATGATTGGTCTTGTCACTGGATAAGATGTTATGTAATAACTTTACATTCATTATGTACATCAATAAATTATTTTATTTTTATAGTAGTTGTTTCATTCACGAATGAGAATATTTCAGTCGCATGTCTCTTATGATAACATTGTTAGTCCATCATGGTTTTGTCCTTAAAAAAAGTGTCTAGACTCTGATCCAGGCATTGAGTGTTATGTCTAGGAACGACAATTTCTTGGTCTTATGTCCGCTATGATAACATCATTAGGATCTATTATCACGTCTGAAATATTGTTCACTTTGGAATTCTAGTCGTTCTAATTTTGTCTTTAAAATGTGTCTTAGTAAGTTAAAAGAGGAAGATGTATATAAATTATTATTAGTCATGACTCCTAAGTGATGTGAGACTTGTAAATGTATCATTTGAGGACTAAGCAGTTGGTAGGAGTGGAAAGAGACTCTGTCTTTGAGGTATTTGTTGTTTACCTATTATAGTACGCCTTTATATGAGTTGTGTTCCATATTTATTTGTGTGAACTCGTTTTTTTACAAGTCCGACTAGAGGATTAGGATAAGGTTGGACCCATGTGATCATCTTGCTTGGGGTCATGTGAGCTAAAATCATCATTAGTGAAGGTGATCAAAGGCAATGCTCTCGGTTTGAAATATTGAGCTATGTTAAGCCTTAAATAAATTGGTGTAAAAGAGGCAACTAAGATAAGATTCTTTATGATGTCTTGGAGTTTTCTATAGTTCTCAATAGTGTGACCATAGTTTTAATGTTATACACATTGTTTTGACCAATATGCATTTGGGGGTGTGGCTACTAGTTCTAGTAACTTGACAAGTTTTGCATGCTCTTGTAAGACGATTTCAACATTAGCATTCGAGGGTGTTAATTTTCTTTCTTCATGCCTATCACCCTACCTGACTCTTTTGTCTGACTTGTATTTTTGAGATGAGCCCTCTATTTTTTAATCTCTTCTCGCCTAAGTTCAACATATTCTATATGAACTTGGAGGCCTGACTTATGAGTTCTTCTAATTCTAGATAAATCATGCACATGCTATCAAAAAATGGTCCTCGCCTTAGCCCTCCTATCATGGAGTGAATGATTAGATTATGGAAAGGGTTGTGCATGGTGAGACTTACCTTAGTAAATAGTTTTATGAATTTTTTTGTCTTATCCCTTAGAGGGTGAGAGAGGTTGACCAATGTGATTTATAGCTACAAAGTTGGCTCAAAACTGTTGAGTCAACATTAAGGATTCCATTGAGTCTGGAGGTAGACCATAAAACTATTTGAGTGTTGCCCCCTTCAAAGTCATAACAAAAACTCGATATAGGAATGAACTATTCTCATTGAATACAATAATTTGTATTAAGAAGGACTGAATGTGCTTGTCCAAGTCTGCTCCTCCTCTAAACCACTCCATAGAAGGGGCTTTCCACATGGTAGGTGTCGCCGTCGTCCGTTCCGACGTTCAAGGACATCTCGAACGTTTATGTGAACGGTCGCGAAACGATGGTTTAGACTCGCGTTTATTTAAAAATGTGATCATTGCTCCCAAGGTGCTCAACAACTGAACTATCCTCTAATAAAAGCAATATTTTCACAAAAAGGTTCTTATGGAGTCGCCACCAATGTTTTGACCATAAACATTGGAAAATGATAAAAAGGCGTTGATTTTAAGAAAAACCAAACTTGGTCATTATAACCAGAGTTAGGTAAGGGAGTTAGTTACGCGTGGGGAAGGTGTTAACACCCCCACGACGCCCCTTTCGGGTTCCCTAAGATGGATTAATTCATAAAGTAAAGATTAAGAGAAATTACGCTATTACCCTATTTTATTATACAATATTAAAAAAATGGCTATCTACATGATTCTATTTTCTATTGCATACATAAAGTAGTAAATAAGGCAATAAAAGAGAAGAGAAGTGAAAAGAACCTCCGTAGCAAGCTTTTATTACAAATCTTCAACTATGAGGATGCATTTTGGCAATCCCCCGCACTACAAAGACTCTCCTCCCCGAATACGGGACCAACACTACAAAAACTTAAAGAAAAATCGAATGCCGGAAGAAACTTCCTTAACCGATTGTTACCTTATAAGCAATCGGAGAGATCATTCGAAAGAGGGAGAGAAAAGAGGAGTGAGGTGTGTGAAAAAATGTCATCTAAGGTTCTTATTTATAGCTTTTTCAGTCAGCAAGCTCGAGACGGCCATCTGGGGCCAGGAAAACAGGGACCGTGGTCTTGAAAGCTTGGGACGGCCGTCTCAGATAGTTTTTTTGGGTGAGACGCACGTCTCACATCTGGGACGTGCGTCTCGCCTGTTTGGGACGGTTGTCTTGCTTTCTAGGACGACTGTCTCGAGTGTTTTGGCCAAATTTTGTGTTTTGGGACTCCAGGGAAGCTTTCCTTTCTTCAAACAGAGGCCGGCTGATGCCTATGGATGTCCACCAAAGCTTTACCCACCCTTAGAGAGAAAGTCTTCTAGTCTTTATTGAGAGGTCAGGCAAAATTAGGGGTCTACAACTGCCCCCCCTTCACCTGCCTAACTAACTGTTGGCCTAATGTTCCCACAAGATTAGTTGGTAGGTGAAGGAGTTAACCATTTTGCCCAGTCATCCTTCGGATGCTCCTTTGTTGAAGTTGTTGATCCTCTGGATGATAAATATTTTTGATAGGTACCAACCCCTATCTGGTTTGATGAGAATGAACCCTCATCTGGTCCAAAACTTCTTCTATAAGGCTCTTGTGAGTACAAACCCCCACCAGGTTCGAGTCCGCACTTGCTAAACTCTTGTGAGTACTTACCCTCACCAGGTATGAATCCACTTTTGCTAGATTCTTGTGAGTACTTACCCTTACGAGGTACGAGCCTGCTTTTGCTAAGATCTTGTGGGTACCTACCCCCACCAGGTATGAATCCGCATTTACTAGATTGTAGTGAGTACTTACCTTCACCAGGTACGAGCTTGCATTTTCTAAGCTCTTGTGGGTACCTATCCTCACCAGGTATGAATCCGCATTTGCTAGATTCTAGTGAGTACTTACCCTCACCAGGTATGAGCCCGCATTTGCTAAGCTCTTGTGGGTACCTACCCCCACCAGGTACGAGTTTGCTTTTGCTAAACTCTTGACGAGCCCTGTTTTGCAAGGCTCTTGTGGGTACCTACCCCCACCAGGTACAAGTCTGCGTTTGCTAAACTCTCTGTGAGTACTTACTCTCATACGGTACGAGCCCGCGTTTGCTAAGCTCTTATGGGTACTTACCTCCACCAGGTATGAATCCGTATTTGCTAGATTCTTGTGGGTACTTTCCCCCACTAGGTTCGAGTCCGCGTTTGCTAAACTCTTGTGGGTACTTACCCCCACCAAGTATGAATCCGTATTTGCTAGATTCTTGTGGGTACTTTCCCCCACTAGGTTCGAGTCCGCGTTTGCTAAACTCTCTGTGAGTACTTACCCTCACACGGTACGAGCCTGCGTTTGCTAAGCTCTTGTGGGTACTTACCCCCACCAGGTATGAATCCGCATTTGCTAGATTCTTGTGGGTACTTTTCCCCACTAGGTTCGAGTCCGCATTTGCTAAACTCTTGACGAGCCCCGTTCTGCAAGGCTTTTGTGGCTACCTACCCCCATCAGGTATGAGTCCGCATTTGCTAAACTCTTTGTGAGTTTAGACCTCTCACCAGGCCTGAATCTGTATTTTGCTAGATTCTTGTGGGTACTTTCCCCCACTAGGTTCGAGTCTGCACTTGTTAAACTCTTGATGAGCCCCTTTCTGCAAGGCTCTTAGGATGCTCTTTTTGGTAGTCAATCTTGTGTTTGATGAGTACAGACCCTCATCCGGTTTTGGAGATGTGTTGGCGGCTTACTGTTTTTGATCATGCGCCCATTCTGTGGGGAGTGATTGATTTTGTTTTTGACTTTTCTGTTTTAGTCATCCGGTCTTGCCAGAGATTTTTGTTTTTGGCTTTTCTGT